AGCTGTGCCACTGGCCAGGAAGGTATTTGAGATTCCTTCCAGCAGGCAACTACTCTTAAGATACTGTTCCGGAGAATTGGGTGATAAGTTTTCACTTTGCTATCTCATTTAATATTGCTGCATGAGGGACCAGCAGTTAGCGTAATGGCTATGTTACTGGACTCCCACATAGTCGACCACGGTTAGGATCCCAGACCCGGAGGTTTAAAACTCACGCCGGGCGCGTGTGCATGCGTGCCCAAGATCCCGAGAGGAGACTGGAGGAGAAGGGATTGAGGCGTGGCCATCCCCCCTGGGGGGTGATTTCTCGCTTTCTGTCTCTATGTCTCTCTCTGTCTGTCTGGTGAGCGGACGCGCCCTAGAGCAAAAAGAAAACCTCTCCAAAAAAAAAAAAATATTGCTGCATGAGCCCTCACTGACAAGAGTATTCCCAGGCACATTCCCAATAAAATCGTAAGGCCATTTTTGTACTAAAAAAATGTAATTTAGAAATTCTAATTAGTATCAATTTAATTTAACTCTGATCTTAATATTATATCATTGCTATTCTCATTATGAATCTGCTCTAACCAGATTCAATCAATTCCCAACAGTGAACCTATTCAAAAGCTCATGATGGCCTTGTTCAACTTGCAAATCAGATATTCTTACTTTCCTGACAATAACAAAGTCTGCTAAAAATGTCATAGTGTGAGTAAATTATTATCAATCATAGTGAAGACAAAAAAGTTAGTGAATTAAGAAATTTCAAAATCTAACTTTCATTTTTAGCCAGGATGGCGTAATAAGGACCAGACTTACCACTTGAGATAACTAAAAAAGAACATATAAAAAAGATGAAATAATCATCTTCAAACATCAGACAATAGGTAGTGCAAGATGGTAATATTTGAGAGAAAATAAATGTACAAATACATTTATTTTCCATGCACTGATTAGAGAAAGTGACCAGATTGCAACGCAGTAGAGGTAAACTCAAACAAACCCTGGAGCCTCCCTCATTTAAAGAGAAAGAGTATTCAAGAACAGCAAGGAGGCTCAATGTTATAAGGCAGAACATCAGAGAGGAGAGAGGTACATGGATAAGAGAGAGGAAGAGAGAGAAGAAAGAAGAGCTATTCAAAGATCTGCAGAGATTCTTCTGGGTCTTCTGTTGAATATTGATCACTGTAGGTACCTTAGGCAAGGTAAAGAATCACCAAAATGGAGCAGGGGCCATCATCCCTAGAGCTCATGCAGAGCCTGAAGTAGTCTGTGTTCTTGTAAGTTGGAACGAAAATGCCTTGTAATGCTCAGACAGAGAATTGGGAAGGAAGCTCAGGGGAGTATTACTTCAGTAGTGGGGAAAAACAGCCCTGTTTAAAGGCTGCTCTGGTCCTGCCTTGTTAGGCTTAAGAACAAGCCATAAAAGTCAAACTGTTTCCAAGAAACTTAACTGCATCCCAGAACAAAGACTTAAAAGTGTAAAAAATATCTGGCACACAACAAGGTAACATAGGCAGTATCCTCATTCTTTTTTTTCTTTTTTAAGATAGATTTTTGCTATAGTGTGTGTGCACTTGATGGAGAGACAGACCGCAAGAAATCACCCCACCCCCCCACCCCCAGGGAGGAAGGCCATGCCACAGTCCCCTCACCTCCATTCTCTTTTCAGAATTTTGGGCACACATGCACACTCGCTCAACATGTGTTTTAAGCCTCCAGGTCTAGGGGACTCAAACCACGATTGACTGTGCAGAGTCCAGTGACATAACCATTACTCCATCTGCTGGTCCTGCAATATCTTCATTCTAAACAGAAAGTAACAGCCATGTAAGGAAGCAGGAAAATAAGACCCATAATGAGGGGGAAAAATCGATGATAATAGGTACACAGAGGATAAAAGTTGTACTAAGTACAGTAAAACAGCTGTTATAATGATAGTCCATATGTTAAAGGGATGAAGGAAAGCATGGGCTAGCAGGGTTTGTTTGTTTGTTTATTTTCATAGAAATTAACATTTAAATTTCTTTAGAAAAGCCAAGGGCCTAGAATAGCCAAAATGACTTTGACAGAAAAACTATTTAATATTGCACCATTTGATTTCAAGGTTTATTGCAAAACTATAGTGGTATTGGTTTAAAGGTAGACAAATAGATCAATAGAATAGAATTGAAATAAACCCACTTATGTACATTAATTGATCTTTGGTAGAGATGCCAAGAAAATGGGAAAAGATTAATATTTTCAACAAATGGTGATAGACAAAAATGCAAAATAAAATAAATTTTGATCCATACCCTATGTCACTTATAAAAACTAGAAATTAATCATAGATTTAAACATGAGATAAAATTATATGAGGATCTTCATTTTGCAAAGAATCTTTAAATGGAGCACAAAAAAAACTACAGAAAAAATAAATTAGACTATATCAAATTTTAAAATTTTTTCTGAAAAAAATAATAAAATTTATAAAAATTCAAAGATGGGGCCAGCCCATGAATAGAAGTAAAGGCAGCTATTATAAATGCCACATAGCTGCTGCAGTTGTGAGTCCTGGACCCAGGGAGCTGAAAAACACACTCAAGTGCGTGTGTACATGTCCAAAACCCTACAAAATGAAAGAGATTGAAGAGAAGGGACTGTGGTGTAACCATTCCCTATGGGAGGTGCTTTCTCTTCCCTCTCTTTTTCTCTGTCTCTCTCTCTCTCCAGCAAACACTAATACCATCTGGCAAACTACCAAAAAAAAAAAAAAAGGAAAAAAGAAAAAGCAATCCAAAATTTGTGAGAAACATTTGAAAACATGTATCTAATATAAATAAGACTTTTATCTATTATATATAATAAACTACTAATCAGTAAGAGGATTTAAAAAAATACTTCATCAAAGAAGATACACGGATGGAAAATAAGCCCATGAAAAGCATCAGAGAAATGCAAATTAAAATTACAGTAAGATTCTAGAAATACCCACAGAAAATGCAAAAAAACAAAAAGACAGCTCGTACCAAGTGTTGGCAAGCGTGTGTAGCTACTGAAACTCTCACATACTTTTGGTGGGAATATAAACTGGTTAAATTACTTTGGAAAATATTTTGGCAATTTTTTAAGAGGTCAAATATGACTGTCATATAATCTAGTCATTCCATTCCAAGTTATTTACCCAAAAGAAAAAAAAGGCATATATCCACATAAATATTTGTATACAAATTATTTATTGGTAATAACCAAAAAGTAGAGACCACTCACATGCCCATTGGTAAGTAAATGGATAAAAGATAAGTGTGGTATACACATCAACTGACTGTTATCCTGAAGCATAAACGAAGACTATTACTACATGTAACAGGGACCAGCAGGTGGCATAATGGTTACATCGCTGGATTCCCATGCAGTCAACCACTTTTCAAGTCCTGAACTTGGTGGCTTAAAACACATGCTGGATGTGTGTGCGTGCATGCCCAAAATCCTGAGAAGAGAATGGAGGAGAAGGGACTATGACATGGCCATCCCATTGGAGGTGATTTCTCACATTCTGTCTCTCTGTCTCTGACTCTCTGGTGAGCACATGTGCCCTATAGCAAAAATCTCTCTCTCTCTTTAAAAAACAAAAAAGAAAACTGGGACCAGAAGGTGGCATAATGACTATGTCACTGAACTCCTGTGTAGTCAACTGCGGTTTGAGTCTCAGACCCAGTGTCTTAAACTCACCCTGGGCACATGTATGTGCGTGCCCAAGATCCCGAGAGGAGAATGGAGAAGGTACTGCAGTGTGGCCATCCCCCCGAGAGGTGATTTCTCGCTTTCTGTCTCTCTGCCTCTCTCTGTCTTTCTGGTGAGCACATGCGCCCTATAGCAAAAACCGCTCCAAAAAAAAATATATAGCAATATGGATGAATTTCAGATCATTATGATGGGTGAAGTTAGAAAAAAAAGTATATATGATTCCATTTATGCAAAATTCTAGAAAATACAAGCTTATATAGTGAGAAAGCAGATCAGTCATTGCCTTCAGAAAGAGTTGAAGAAAAGAAATGGATTACATAGGGGCATAAGAATTGTTGGGTTTGAGTAACATGGTCATTATGAAGTCTAAATTTATGCAGTTCATACTTAAGAACATTTCAGGAGAAATAAAAATATTAAAATTCAAAAATCAGCTCTAATTTTGAGACTATTTTATTTGAACTTGGCTATGTGACCTATTCTGAATTTCAATTTCCTTATCTGTAAGAGAGAAGGTTTGGATTAAAAGACTTCTGAAGTCTTCTCACATTTAGATGTCTACTTCTTTAATTTTGTCTATCTATGATCTCAAGGACAGTAGGTTACATAGATATTTGTTCACAAATATTTGCTACTTCTCCTCATAAGTCTTCCCTTTATGTTGCATTTATGTAGAAAGGTTGTGTTGTAACTTGAAATTTGGCATGGTTATCTGGATTTTTAAAAAATAATTATTTATCTAATTTTTTGAGAGGTTTTTGCTATAGGGCGCGTGCGCTCGCCTTATTTATCTAATTTTAATTATTCATTTATTTATTTTAATTCAACCAGAGAGAAACGCAGAGAGAAATAGAGGGAAAGTGAGAAACCAAGCCACCAGATCCAGGACTCAAACCATAGTCAGCCATGTGGGAATGTCCAGCACCTTAACTACCATACCACCTGCTGCCCCTATGTGGCTTACTTCAGTTCATAGAGTGTGATTGATAGTAAAATAATCATAAGCTTTAAGAATAGGTTCTTGGGACCAGCAGTTGTTGTAATGTTTGTGTTGCTGGACTCCCGTATAGTTGACTGTGGTTCGAGTCCTGGATCCAGCAACTTAAAACTCACAGTGGGTACGTGTGTACTTATACCCAAAATCCCAAGAAGAAAATGGAGGAGAAGGGATTGCAGTGTGGCCATCCCCCAGGGGGGTGATTTCTTGCTTTCTGTCTTTCTCTGTCTCTCCCACAGGTGTACACACCCTATAGCAAAAATCTTTATAAAAAGAAAAATAATAGGTTCTGCAGCATCCAGTGATAGACCTTGAACAGTCTGCTTCATCTGTTCTTAACAGTTTGCATTAGGATGTGAGAGAGAAAAACATTCCTGTGTTTTCTGGGTCTCTGTGGTGACCCAGATTGAACTGGTGAGTATGACTGAAAAAGCAAACAAAAGAGAAGAATATGGCTCTGCCCTGTTTGTTAACATCTTCCAAGTAATGAAGAAACACAAGATAAGACCTGAGTTCTCTTTGAGGGTGGGAACGAGAGCGAAGAAAGGGTAGAACATAGTGGCAGACCTGTTGTAATGTTCATGTGAACTAGAAAGGAATCTCTGGATGCACCTCTAAGATTTGAGGGATATCTTGTTACTGTGGTATAAGTTCAAAATGACTGACAAAGAAATTGATATTATAAATGATTCCAGGGGCCAGTAGGTGGTATAGTGGTTAAAGCACTGGACTCCCACATGGCTGACTGCAGTTTGAGTCCTAGACCTAGCAGCTCAAAAATTTTGCTGGGTGTGTGTGCATGCATGTCCAAAATCCCAAGAGGAGAATGAAGAAGGGATTGTGGTGTGGCCATGCCCCCTGGGGGGTGATTTCTCAATTTCTCTCTGTCTTTGTCTTTCTCTAGCAAGTGTACTCACTACTCTCTGGCAGAAACCTAAAAGAGAAAGGAAAGGAAAGGGGAAAGGGAGGGAAGGAATGTAGATAACTCCATAATATATAAATCTATAAAGAAACTTCTGCCACTTAGGTTATACTTGTTTCAAGGCTACTCAGAGAAACTACTATTGGCAGTGAAAAGGCAGTAATACATGTTATACAAATGTTAAACTATTTGGTAAAATTGTTACCTGTAGTAAGTTTGGAGTATCCATTCTTGGCAATAAATTTCTGCCATTAAGCAAAGACCTCGAAAAACAAAATACCGGTAAGAATGAGTCAGTACACGTGCCATTTCTTCAGACTATAAGCTCTGTGATACCAGATAGCACAAATACTTCACCTGAAAGGAAAGTGAGGAATCATAAAAAAAAAAAAAAAGAATTAAATAGTTTGTTTCCAAGCAGCATTTAAAGAGAATTTAGAAAGTCCATAAATTCCAGGATTTGTAGGATTCTGAAAATGGAACTGATTCTTTTTTCTTGCTAGTGAGTTATAAAATGGGGAGGATCTCTCAGCAACAAAGAATAATTAATACTTAGCCTCTAAACAGGACCAGATCAAATCAGTGATGTGACTATGAAACATTTTTTGGATTATCAGTGTTCTGGTGCCATTAGTAATATGCTTTTGCTCCAGAAGAAAAAAAAAATCAAAAACCTTTGCGTGCATTGTGCTCTCTGAGGTAACAGCCATGCTTAGAGTGCCTGACAGAGATGCTAAGTGTGTCATACAAATATAGTGGAAAATTGTTGGAAGAGCCTCCCTACATGAGAACGGTCCATCTCTGTATGTCCTCAAGCGAAGGCCTCTCCTGCAATATTCACTTGACTTCTAACATTTTCACAACCATTCTTATGCCAAGAGTATCTTATAATAATATGGTCAACCTGATGTAAAGTGGGTTCCTTAGAATACTTTGGGAAATGTTAATGTAGTAGACAAGAATTGGTCTGTGGTCATATTAGTTTAGAAAACAGTTTAACATTAAACAGTTTTACTTAGTATAGGACAACTCAAGAGTTTATTGTTTTGTTTTGCTTTTTAATTTTGTGAGAGGTACTTGTGCTCACCAGAGAGAGAAAGACAGGAAGAGGGAAAGTCAGAAAACAGTCCCCAAAGGCCAAGGCCATACTGCAACCCCTTCTCTGTCTCTCCTTTTGGAATTCTGGGCATGCGTGTGCACTTGTCTAATATGTTCTTCAATCCACTGGGTCTGGGACTTGAACCACAAAGGTGGTTCATGTAGGATCCTGTCGCCTTAACTACCATGTCGTCGCTGGCTCCAACTCAAAGACTTTTTAAATGCTGGTGGAATGGTGAATTTCCAAGGACAAAAAGGATATACAACATTTGCCAGATTTATTTGACCATAGAACATTGTTTTTCCCCCCACAGAGCATTGTGAAGATTTTACATATTCTACAGAAAACACATGCAATTTAATATTCCATGGAAAAACTCTTACAATACTGATTCTATATTAATATCTTTCCCCCCCTATAGGGCACACACATGCATTTGCTGGAGAGGGATGGGGGGGGGGGGCGTGGAGGGATGGGGGGATGGGGTGTGGAGGGATGAGAAATCACCCCTCACCCCGGGGAAATAGCCACACCCCAATCCCTTCTCCTCCACTCTCATCTCAGGATTTGGGGTCTGTACGCACACGTGCCCAGAGTGATTTTCAGGGCACAGGTCCAGAACTCAAAGTCGACCATGTGGGGTACCGTCACCTTAACCTCCACGCCTGATCTTTGATTTTATTCCTTTGGCCTGTGCATCTGTGACTCCTCTCATAGTACTAATAATGATTAGGAGCAAAGATAATAAATCTTAAGATTTTTGCTTCCTGTCTTTTTCTATGCATATTTATATGCCATTAGGACTACATAATCAATACATCCTCTGTTCTTCCATCGTGCCATGTTAATGACTCAATTACAGCACTTTTCTCCAACTGAGAAACTGCCTTTTGTCTTGCCCAGTACAGCAACACGTGGCCCTGGTTCAGTGGGAAGGAAGCCAGTGTCGTTGCTGGCCCGATGCCTGGCACACCAATCAAAAGCTGGGTATGAGCAGGGAGCCCTAGAGAGACTCCTAGTCACGGTGTTGAAGCATTGTTCGTCTTGCCTCTCCCAAAGCTTCCTGGATCTCCCTGTGCTTTGCAGTTTGCGTCACTTGTCCAGTACCTTCAGACTAATTTATTGCCGGTTGTTCGGTCATTATTCCCCTTATCTCCCCATTATTGACTCTTCTTACTCTTCTCCAACTACACTCTGTGCTTTTGAGTCTTCCAGTCTGCTCTGGCTGCTCCTTCCTCACTAATGCTATTTATCTCTGCATATGCAAGCCTGCTTGTCTTTTGAAGTCCAGTCCAAATTCTCCTTATCTTTGAGTCCTTAATTTTTGCCATGGGGCATGTACTTCCCAGAGAGAGACAGAAAGAAATAATGAGAGGGAAAGTGAGAAATCAGCCCCCAGGGGAAATAGGCACCACATAATTCCTTCTGTTCCATCCTCCTTCTGGGATTTTGGGCACATATGCACACATGTCCAATGTGATTTTCAAGTTGCTGGGTCCAGGCATCATACCACAGTTGGCCATGTGAAAGTCCAGAGCCTTAATCACTAGTTTATTTGATCTTTAGAATCACAGCATTTCACTTATATTCATTTTTGACATGAACCACATTCTTTCATATAATACAGTTATTTATATATACACATCTCTGTCCTATTAGTTTATGAGCTCTAGGAGGGTGAGTGGTATAATTTGTTTATCTTTGGATCTCCCCATGCACAAACTTTCTGCACAAAGAATATGTTCCAGAAGACAATAATGTATAAAAGACTGCTGATAAAAATAAAACTCATAAATCCTCATTTAAGATGGGTAATACAGCCAAACCCAAAATATAAAAACTTTAATGACCTTGAGGAAGGCAAAGATATGGGGAACAGAACACTTTCAGTTTGTTTTCAAAAATTCTTCTCACTTTTAGGGACCGGCAGTTAGAGTAATGGCTATGTTGCTGGACTCCCATGTGGTCGACTGCAGTTCGTGTCCTGGACCCGGTGGCTTAAATCTCACACCAGGCGCATGTGCGTGTGTGCCCAAGATCTTGAGAGGAGAATGGAGGAGAAGGGATTGCGGAGTGGCCATCCCCCCTGGGGGGTGATTTCTCGCTTTCTGTCTCTCTGTCTGTCTGGTGAGCGCACACGCCCTATAGCAAACAAACAAAAAAAATTATTCTCACTTTTCTAAAAAATTTCTTTTGTCATAGGGCTTGTGTGCTCACCAGAGAGGAGAGAGACAAAGATACAAAGAGAAAGAAAGTGAGAAATCACCTCCCAGGGAGGATGACCACACTGCAATAACCTTCTCCTCCAGTTCCTCCTGGGATTTGGGGAACACATGCACACGTGCGGGTGTGATTTTCAAGTTGCTGGTCCTAGGACTCAAACTGTTTTCTGCTATGTAGGAGTCCAATGCCTTAAGTGCCTTAACCACCATGTCACCTGCTGGTCTCTCTTCCCACAGTATTGAATGAAGCCAGTCTGATTCATTTATCTGAGTTCACTTGTTAATGATGAAAAGAAAGGTGTATAACATAGCTTATTTTATAAAATACTAGGAGGACACTTCAAAAATTCAACCTTAGGAGCTATTTAGTATGTAAATGGGGAAGAAAATATTTTGAGCAGTAGATGTGCCTGTGAAATGAAAAGATAATCCTCTTACTTATCATATGTATCTTGTATGAATAGTTAGTTATTCTACCATGACTACTGTCTCATTGAGACCCACAAGTATGGGGCTGCATACCTGTGTTTAATGGGTGAGATTTACTGGGCAAAGGGGTTGTTAATTGGTTCCAATCATCTAGGTATGTTACTGGGTAGAAAACAGAAACTAGGAGGAGAGTTAGATTTTTCACTTCTGTTGGCCTGGATTTAGAACAAAAATTTATCAAAAATGTCACATACTGGTATTTTTGACAGTACATGGTCTCTTGTTTAAATTTTTACAGCCTTAGAAGACATAATTAATCCAACATATACTCCCACACAATGCCTCAGTAACTACGAACTGTTTATTAGAGTTGGCATGTAAGGAAGCAATCAGAGTCATTCCTAGTCTAAACGATTACAAGATTATTCTAAGTGGTACATTTTAGTATGTGGTTTGATGGGTGAAGTTCAGCTGGAAATAAAAAGGGAGCGACATAGAGAAGATTCTCTTCTTTCTGTGGTTCCAAATGGATGTTGAAGACACTGAAAGCTCAGGAAAACAAGTTATAATATGCACCATGAGGCTTTCCAACTATCTGACACTCTGTATTCATTGGTTTTTGGGCACTGCCTAGATTTCTAAAAATTGTTGCATTTTGACTTTGCCTATGATATACCCATTTTCCATTTATTTATTTATTCATTTATTTTTGCCTTCCTAACTAAACCCTGATTTTGTTCTGTACTCCAAAGAT